CCCTGTTGTTGGCCCTCCAGAGGAACTGGCTGGCCCCTGTGTGAGATGGGATGCTGGACTAGATGGACCCTCCCTGGTCTGACCCAGCAGGGCTCTTCTGATGTTCTTATGAAGGCCTCAGCCTCTCTGCCCTGTTGCTGGCCTTCCAGAGGAACTGGCTGGCCACTGGGTGAGGCAGGATGCTGGACTAGATGGACCCCCACTGGTCTGACCCAGCAGGGCTCTTCTGATGTTCTTATGAAGGCCTCAGCCTCTCTGCCCTGTTGGTTGCCCTCCGGAGGAACTGGTTGGCCTCTCTGTGACACGGGATGCTGGACCAGGTGGACCACTTTGTCTGATCCAGTAAGGCTTTTCTTATGCCTTGAAAAGGTGACAGTCAGTAGTTGTGAACCAACATTTTTGATGCTTTCTCTGCCATTAACCTGCAGCCGACCTTCACTCTCTCCCCAGGGTAGTTAAGTTCACTCACTAGGCTCACTCAATGTCTTCAACTCCTCCTCTGCTTCCGGCTACCCCCAGCTTTGCCATACCACCCACCACCGCATTAAGGGTTCAGCCCAGTAACTGCACCCGACCCTGCTGGTTAAGTTCCAGCCCTCCTGGCCTTCAGCCCCGGACCTAGGGTGCACCCTCACCCCAGACGGCAACCACAAAAGCCACCCACCCCCAACCTGCCGTACGTGTGTCTGGCCACACTCGTCCCACTGGTGTGGCTCACACAGGTGGGGTGTTACCCTTATCCCCCTGTGTGGCCCTTCCCTCCCAGGTGTGGGCCCCTGCATCCAGGTGGGGTGACTCCTATCATAAGAACATAAGAGAAGCCAGTGTCGGGTCAGGCCAAAGGCCCATCCAGCCCAACACTCTGTGTCACACAGTGGCCAGAAATACCAGGTGCCATCAGGAGGTCCAGCAGTGGGGCCAGGACATTAGAAGCCCTCCCACTGTTGCCCCCCCCAAGCCCCAAGAAGACAGAGCATCCCTTGCCCCAGAGTCCCTATCTATACCTTGTGGCTCATAGACACTGATGGACCTTGGCTCCATATGCTTATCTAATTCCCTTTTGAAGCTGTCCATGCTTGTAGCCACCACCACCATCTGTGGCAGTGAATTCCAAGTGTTAATCATCATATGTTAATCACTTCCTTTTATCCATTCTAACCCGACTGCTCGGCAATTTCATGGAGTGCCCACGAGTTCTTGTATTGTGAGAAAGGGAGAAAAAAACTTCTTTCTCCACCTGCTCTGTCCCATGCATAATCTTATAAACCTCAATCATGTCACCCCTCGGTCATTGTTTCTCAAAGCAAAGATCTCCAAGCGCCTTAACCTTTCTTCATAGGGAAAGTGTTCCAACCCTTTTATCAATCTAGTTGCCCTTTCTGCACTTTTTCCAATGCTATAATATCCTTCTTGAGGTGTGGTGAACAGAACTGTATGTGGTACTCCAAATGAGGTCACACCATTGATTTATACAGGGGCATTATGATACTGGCTGATCTGTTTTCAAGACCCTTCCTAATAATCCCCAGCATAGCATTGGCCTTCTTTATTGCAGTCACACACTGTCTCGACCTTTTCAGTGAGTTATCTACTATGACTCCAAGATCTCTCTCTTGATCAGTCTCTGCCAGTTCAGACCCCATCAACGTGTATTTATATTTACGATTTTTGACCCCAATGTGCATCACTTTGCACTTTGCCACACTGAACCCCATTTGCCACGTTGACGCCCACTCGCCCATCCTCAACAGATCCCTTTGGAGTGCCCTCCCCAGGTGTCACAGTTACAATGTGAAAAACCCATTCCCACCCTGGGGGAAGGATTGGTGGATGGGAGGAGATGGAAAAGGCCCCCACTCACTGGTTATACAGAGGCTGCAGGAAGTCTGGGGTGTTCCTGGACCTCCTTCTGTGGGCATGACTGCCAGTTCTTTGAGAAAACGCTGCTAGGAAATCCTCACAAGCGCCTTTCACACAAGCGCCAGTTTGGTGTCGTGGTTAAGTGCGCGGACTCCAATCTGGGAGAACCGGGTTTGATTCCCCACTCCTCCTCCACTTGCACCTGGCTGGATGACCTTGGGCAAGCCACAGTTCTGGTAAGAGCTGTCCTTGAAAAAGAGCAGTTTCTGTCAAGAGCTCTCTCAGCCCCACCTGCCTCACAGGGCGTCTGTTGTGGGGAGGGGAAGGGAAAGGAGTTTGTCAGCCGCTCTGAGACTCCAAGTGAAGGGCAAAGGGGTATAAATCCAATCTCTTCTTCTTCTTCTTCTTCTTCCAACCGGAGAGAAGCCCCAAGTGGCCCTTATGGGACCTGCCCTTTTGGAACAGCTCCCTTTGCAACGGACCGACCGGCTTCCCTCTTCCGCATAGCCTTTTTGATCAAGGAGGCTAGAAGGGGAAAGGAGCTCCCTCAGAGGGCAGAAGGTTTTAATACCGCCAAGGCAAAGATTGCAGGCAGGCGCATGACCAGAGAGCAGATACCTAGGGAGGCAAAGGAAAGCTCTTTAAGGAGCTGCGGACCGCTGCCCACGCAAGACAAGCCGACGCCAGCCAGCATCCGGCAGCAGGAATACAAACATATCATGGTGGTGGTGGGGGGAGGGGATTCCCTCCAGCTATGACGGGGTCGGACCCACACAGCCAACACTGGGGCCGGGAGGGGTGTGTGTGTGTGTTCCTGGGCTGAATATAACCCCGGCAGTCTTGCAAAGCTTTGCTTAGCTGTCCGTCCCAATGGACATTTGTGTGTTTGTTTAAAGATTAAAGCAGAGAGGAGGAGGAGGAGGTGCAGAGACAGAGGGCTTACCTTTTGTGGCAACACCAGAGCACAGTTCAGTCGCACTGCTCCAGGGTGGAAAGTACTCCGCCGAGTTCAGACTGGCCGCTTCCCCCGATATACGCGTGTTTCAGAAACGCTCCACAACCGGATTTAATGGGCCGTTCACACAGTCCCATCTGTCAGGCGTTCCCCACCCGTACTCAACCCATCTTGTAACGTTTAAAAGATACCTGGTGAAAATGGTAGCAAACCCTGGACAGCACAGTTATCCCGCACCAACAGAGTGTGAACGCCCAAAGCTGGCGGGCCAACAGTGTGAATGCTCCCTTGCGCCTCCTCCCGGTATGCCCCCGCATCAGTCACTACAGTGTGAACGGGGAAACCCGGAACAGTTTCTTCCGGCTCTTTTTTGCCAGGACGCCCTCCTGCTTCAAGCTGCCAGCCTGAACCCAGCACTCCTGTGTGCACTGCATCATTCACTGCTACGAGGTGTGGCCGAGGGTCACTGACTCTGATGGCTTTAAACAAGATTTGGACCGATTCTTGGGGAAGACCCTTACCGATGGTCACTAACAAAGAGAGCCAGTTTGGTGTAGTGGTTAAGTGTGCGGACTCTAATCTGGGAGAACCGGGTTTGATTCCCCACTCCTCCACTCGCAGCTGCTGATGTGACCTTGGGTCAGTCACAAGTGTTCTCAGAGCTATCCTTGAAAGAGCAGTTTTCGAAAGAGCACTCTCAGCCCCACCTACCTCGCAGGGTGTCTGTTGCGGGGAGGGGAAGGGAAAGGAGACTGTAAACTGCTCTGAGACTCCGAGTGAAGGGCCAGGGGGTATACAACCAATCTCTTCTTCTTCTTGAGAGCCAGTTTGGTGTCGTGGTTAAGTGCGCAGACTCTAATCTGGGGAAACCGGGTTTGATTCCCCCACTCCTCCACTCGCAGCTGCTGATGTGACCTTGGGTCAGTCACAAGTGTTCTCAGAGCTATCCTTGAAAGAGCAGTTCTCGAAAGAGCACTCTCAGCCCCACCTACCTCGCAGGGTGTCTGTTGTGGGGAGGGGAAGGGAAAGGAGACTGTAAGCCGCTCTGAGACTCTGAGTGAAGGGCGGGGGTATACATCCAATCTCTTCTTCTTCTTGAGAGCCAGTTTGGTGTCGTGGTTAAGTGCGCAGACTCTAATCTGGGGGAACCGGGTTTGATTCCCCACTCCTCCACTTGCACCTGGCTGGATGACCTTGGGCAAGCCGTAGCTCTGATAAGAGCTGTCCTTGAAAAAGAGCAGTTTCTGTCAGAGTTCTCTCAGCCCCACCCACCTCACAGGGTGTCTGTTGTGGGGAGGGGAAGGGAAAGCAGTTTGTAAGCCGCTCTGAGACTCCAAGTGAAGGGCGGGGTATAAATCCAATCTCTTCTTCTTCTTCTTCTAACAACGATGGCTAAATAGAACCTCCGTATTCTGAAGCGCTGTCCCTGTAAATACCAGTCAGTGGGGGTTTAACGGCAAGTAAGGGGCCGCGGTGGCTCAGAGGTTAAGACACTGAGCTGCAGACTGGCAGAGAGTCGTTCGGCAGTTTGAGACCTGAGTGCCGCGGGACGGAGTGAGCTCCCGTCTCTGGCCGCAGCTCCTGCCAACCTAGCAGTTCAAAAGCAAAGAAACTGCAAGTAGATGAATAGGTACCACTTTGGTGGGAAGGCAACAGCATTCCGTGCACCTCAGCGTTTAGTCATGCTGGCCACATGACCACGGAGAAGTCTTCGGACAGCGCTGGCTCTTCGGCTTGGAAACGGAAATGAGCACCGCAACCCTAGAGTCAGATTCCACTGGCTTTCGAGCAAGGGGAACCTTTACCTTTAAGGGCTGGCCAGCCATGGTGGGATGCTGACTAGGTGGACCCTACTGGGTTGTCTCCAGCTGGACTCTTTTCACCAAAACGTCTCACAACAAGGTTGTCGAGCTCCATTTCTACTTTAGGCATTTATTTGTACTTCATTTGTACCCGCTGGGGACCCAAAACAGCTTCTCCGCTCCTCCTTTTTATCCTCACAGCAACCCTGTGAGGTCGGTGAGGCAGAGAGTACGTGACTAGCCCAAGATCACCCAGCAAGCTTGCGTGGCAGAGTGCGGATCCGAACCTGGTTCTCCCAGATCCAAGACTGACACTGCACCATGCTGGCTGGCTGTACTCCTCTGCGTATAAACGCTCTCTGGCCAGGTGCCTCCACCCGCAGGCACGCTGAGAATGGGAGCAGCTTGGCAGAGAGGCTGTGCTGTTTCTTCAGCAGCAGCTGCCCTCCTTCTGCCGTGCCCCCCAAATCGGCAGACATGCATGTGACCCTCGTTTGCCAGAGCACCACAGTGTTGCTGGAAGTGGGTGCCCCTGAACAGAAGCCAGGCTCAGCAGGTGCCACCCCACTGCCCACTCCCCACATGGCAAGGTGGGGGCATGGGTTAGCCTCGAGGCGGAGCCCACTGGGCTGGTAGGCAGGGTCTGCCCTTTGGCCATTGGGTTGCCAACCCACAGGTGGTAGTAACTGGAGATCTCCCAGAATTACCACTGGTCTCCGCATTCAGAAGCACGAAACCTCTGCATCCCAGAGAAGAGACTGGAGCAGATTTTAAAAGGGATCAGTGTGGAAGCATCTAAAGGACATGTTCTCTGATAGGTAAACTAGAGGACTGTGGATGACTCTAGGATAGCGAGGTGGCGAGGGCACTGGTTGGAGAACCGCACTCAAAGAGTAGTTATCAGTGGCATTTCATCTGAAGGGAGAGAGGTAACCAGTGGGGTGCCACAGGGCTTGGTTCTGGGCCCCGTACTTTTCAGTACTTTTATCAGTGACCTGGATGAGGTGGTTGGAGGGGCTATTCATTAAATTTGCACCAAATTGGGAGGAGCGGCAAACACACCAGAAGACAAGAGATAGAATTCGACAAGATCTAAACACACTGGAAAGGTGAGCAGATGTGAACAAGGTGCAATTCAGCAAGGATAAGTGCTGAGTTCTTCATCTGGGTAACAAAAGCTAGGAACATGCATACTGGATGTGGGGGGACTCTCTTCTGGGCAGCAGTGTGTGTCAAAAAGATCTTGGGTACAGGTGGATCATAAGTTAAATATGAGCAGCCAGTGTCATGCAGCAACAAAAAAGGCTAATGCAATCTTGGGTTGTATCAACCGAGGCATAACATGCAAATCACAAGATGTCATGGTCTGGCTGTACACTGGATTGGTTAAGCCTCCCCTGAAGTACTGTGTGTAGTTCTGGAGGTCTCACTTCAAAAAGGATGTGGGCAGAATGGAGCTGGTGCAGAAGAGGGTGAGGAGGACGATTGGGGGCCTGGAGACCAAGAAGCCCTGTGGGGGAAGGCAGAGGGACCTCTTGGGAATATTTAGTCTGCTGGAGAAGAGGAGGCTGAGAGGGGGCTCTCTTGAAGTCTTTGAAGGGCTGTCATTTAGAGGCGGGTAGGGGGGCTGTTCCTGTTGGCAGCAGAGGACAGAGAGGCCCAGACCTTCCCCTGTTAAGAACATCAGAAGAGCCCAGCTGGGTCAGACCAGTGAGGGTCTACCTACTCCAGCATCCCACCTCACACAGTGGCCAACTAGTTCTCCTGTCCCCTGACTGGAGATGCTGTGGGAGATGATCAAACTGAGGCATGCCAAGCCAGGGCTGTGCCAGGGACTGAGGAGTCCTTCCTGAGCTCATGAATCCTCCGTCTACCGATTCCAGCTCATGGCCCGCCATCTCTGGGCACCGGCTCCCCAGAGAAAGGCCTTCTCCAGTGCCGGCTGCTACCAGAGATCCTTCTTAAGCAAGAGCCACACAATAAAGGTGTGGAGCGTGGAAGCAGTCGGGGCCGTGCGAGTGGAGAGGCCTGGTATCTTTGGGGGGCTCTAGACGTGAGTGACTGGCTGTCCTCGGGCACAATTGTTCTGCGCTGAGAGTTCACACCTTGGACCTCACCCATCAGGGCATCTGGTGCACACCGCATGGCACGGCAGCTCAGAAAAGCGTGGTATCAGGGAGGGGTCTTCCCCACGGGGAGAGGGTCTGTTGCAGGCTGTGCGAGTGGAACCGTTGAGGGCCATATGGGAAAGACGCCGTGAGTCAGAGCCTTGCAGCGGAAGGGCATCTCCTGCCGCCTGCCAGAGTGCCCTCTGCGAGCCAGTCTCCGGAAGACCTCGCCTGGCACTCTGGAAATCTTGCCCTTTACTGAGGAGCCCTGGCTAACTGTGCATCATTACACTTCCTCAGTAATTGAAGGGCTGTCGTTTAGTGTAGTGGTGTAGCCCTAAAGCATCCCTGATTTGTGTCGTGGTTAAGTGCGCGGACTCTCATCTGGGAGCACTGGGTTTGATTCCCCACTCCTCCACTTGCACCTGGCTGGATGACCTTGGGCAAGCCACAGTTCTGATAAGAGCTGTTCTTGGAAAAGAGCATTTTCTGTCAGAGCTCTCTCAGCCCCACCGACCTCACAGGGTGTCTGTTGTGGGGAGGGGAAGGGAAAGGAGTCTGTAACAACAAATGATTGCCCAACTTCTGCTTGAACACCTCCAAGGAGGGAGACCCACAACATCCCTGTGCAACTGATTCCACCACTGGACCACCCTTATTGTTAAAAAGACTTTCCTAATATCCCACCGATATCTCCCCACCCACAAATTAAACACGTTAGGATGGGTCCTGTCCTCCACTAAGAGAAGAAGAGAAGAGATTGGATTTCTACCCCGCCCTTCACTACCCAAAGGCGTCTCAGAGCGGCTCACAAACTCCTTTCCCTTCCCCTCCCCACAACAGACACCCCGTGAGGTGGGTGGGGCTGAGGGAGCTCTGACGGAAACGGCTCTTTTTCAAGGACAGCTCTCCTCAGAACTATGGCTTGCCCAAGGTCATCCAGCCAGGTGGAAGTGGAGCAGTGGGGAATCAAACCCGGCTCTCCCAGATTCGAGTCCACGTACTCAACCACGACACCAATCTGGGATGCTTTAGGGATGCTCCTAACCGGGATAGCCCAGGCTAGCCTGATCTCGTCAGATCTTGGAAGCTAAGCGGGTTCTTCTTCTTCTTCTTCTTCTTCTTCTTCTTCTTCTTCTTCTTCTTCTTCTTCTTCTTCTTCTTCTTCTTCTTCTTCTTCCCCCTCCACCAGCTTTCAAGAGTAGAGTTGTGCAGGCTTCCTGGAAGGGGGGGAGGCTGGCACCCCTCCTGTGGCACCAGCCAGGCTCCTTACTACGGGGGTCTCTGGGGATCCCGCCTGCCACCTGGGCTCATTTTGTTTTGCTGGCTGCTTTTAAGCCTCCCTCCCGGAGGCCTGAGGAAGTGAAAATCGCTCCAATTTATCACTTGGAGAGAGCGGGAGGGAGTCCGGAGGAGAAGGGGCACAAGGCGCGCCAACCAGTGTTCCCTCGGAGCTGAGTGAGTGTGAGCCAGCTCACAGTTTTTTAGCCTCCGGCTCACGCACTTTTGCCTTCGCTTAGGAAGGAGGGGCTCCAGAGCAAACTAATCCATGCAGCAGCCAGATCGCTCGCTCACAACCTTAATGCCGGTAGCTCACAAAGTGGAATTTTTGCTCACGAGACCCCACGGCTTAGCGGGAGCATTGGCTCCGACCCCTCTTGCAGGGGAAGACTTGAGAATGGTTCTGTCTTTGTAAGCACCCTCATCTCCCACCTCTCCTACATGGGAAGTGGCTAATCAAGTATCACAACAACAGTGTCAGCACACCATAAAACACAGAAAAGACCTGGCTGTGAAACACAACAGACTCCACGGAGCCATGGCAAAAGGCCCTTGAGAGCCAAAGGCGGGGAAAGAGCTCGGCAGACCTCCTTGGGGAGGCCCATCCAGGGAAGCGGGGCCACCGCTGAAAAACGCCTGCGCCGGGTCGGCGGGACTCAGGCCGGCGGGACTCGGGCCGGTTGGGTGGACGGCCGTGTTCCCTCTAAGCTGAGTTCGTGTGAGCTAGCTCACAGTTTTTTAGCCTCCAGCTCACACGTTTTTGTCTTGGCTCAGGAAGGAGGGCTCCAGAGCAAACTAATTTATGTAGCAGCCAAATCGCTCACTCCCAACTTTAATACCAGTAGCTCACTAAGTAGAATTTTTGCTCACAAGCAGGGGTCATTTCCTGCAGGAGTGCACAGGAGTGGAGCTCCGGCAGTAAAGAGCCCAGGGGGCAGGCACATGCAAGAAGCCCCACCCCCTGCTCCCAGCAGCCCTCAGTCAGAGCAAGAAGCAGCCAGGTAAGCTGCAGAGCCCCCCCCCCCGGTGGGTGTTGCCTTCTGACACACGTCCGGTGATGTCAGGGGGTGTGGCATACGCAAATAAGTTATGCTAATATGCTAATGAGCTCCTGCACCTCTTTTTCTACAAAATGACCCCTGCGTCACAAGACTCCACAGCTTAGAGGGAGCATTGGTGGACGGAACAGTCCCTGAAGCACAGCGGAAGAGAAGGAGTGGTGGTCGGTGCAGAGGATGCCAGTGGGTCTCAGACCCAGATGAAGACTGAGCCTTCTTGGTCCGGCCTCCACCCCAGGGCCAGTTCAGGGGGGGGGGTTTGTACCAGGACGTCCCTCTCAGGGACCAGCCCTCTTTGGCCGCCTCTCATTTGGGGAGAGGGGGTGGGAGCAACAGCACCTGCGTGGCTCCTGCCTTCCCCCAGCCGGTGACTCTCTCCCTTGGCTTTTCGCAATTGCCGTCCTGACTGCATAACTTTGCAGCGCGGCTCAGCTGACTCCACGCCAAGCCCTCGCCTCGTGCGGCCATCTGTTTCCTTTCGCACACCGAGCTGTCCTCCCCTCCCCCTGCCAGAACGGGCAGCTTTGCCATTCCTGTGCCCCCCCCCCACCGCTCGACATAGCCCTCGAGCTGTCCTCATTCCACCCCGCTTTTGAACAGGAGAGTCACTCAGCCGCAGGTCTTCTCATTCACCCACCGTGCGTCTAACTGGCCCCTTCAGCAGAGGGCGAGTGTCTGTTCTTGACAGTTATCCAGTGGCCTATTTTCCCCCACCTGCATTCATACCTACATCTTACTTCTGGTTTGCTGCACAAAACATCACACCTTCCAACCTTAGATGGTGGGGGAGCAACGCTCCCTCTAAGCCGTGGAGTCTTGTGAGCAAAAATTCTACTTTGTAAGCCACTGGCGCTAAAGTTGTAAGAGAGCGATTTGGCTGCTGCATAAATGAGTTTGCTCTGGAGTCATCCTTCCTGAGCTAAGACAAAAATGTGTGAGCTGGAGGCTAAAAGATGAGCTAGCTCACACTAACTCAGCTTAGAGGGGACAGTGGGGGGGGGAGTATACCTGACTTGCATCGAAGCAGCCTTCTCTGATATGTTGTGTTTCCAGGAATGACATGGCAATGAAAGTCCCTTTTCTTTGGCCTTTAGAAACATGAGAAGGACTTTCCTTAGCCTGAGTGGGTCTGGGGGTCCTTGCCCTCCTGCAATAAAGTAAGGAAAGAAATCACAGTGGAACTGTGTGTGTGATTTAACAGTGCAATTGACCCCGAAGTTATCCACAGAAGTAGAGTCAGAAAAGCAAAGCGGCCCCTGATATCCTATGTGAACGGTGCTTATGGATCTAGGCTCAGGCGTTTCTGCTGATTATGAACTTTCGGCCCCATACAGGAGCACTTGGATATCACTCGGTTCTTGTGCCCCGATTGTGTTGTTTCCCCTTTCTGTGGAGATCAGTTTTATTTGTATTTTTAAATCACTGTGTGCAAGAAAAATGTCCATAGAGAACAGGGGGAATCTCTGCAAAGTACTGTTTATAAGATTATGCATAAGATAGAGCAGGTAGAGAAAGAAGTACTTTTTTTCCTTTCTCACAATACCAGAACTCATAGGCACTCAATGAAATTGCTGAGCAGTTGGGTTAGAACAGATAAAAGGAAGTACTTCTTCACCCAAAGAGTGATGAACACATAGAATTCACTGCCACAGGAGGTGGTGGCGGCTACAAGCACGGACGGCTTCAAGAGGGAATTAGATAAGCATATGGAGCAGAGGTCCATCAGTGGCTATTAGCCACAAGGTATAGATAGGGGCTCTGGGGCAAGTGATGCTCTGTCTTCTTGGTGCTTGAGGGGGCGTCAACAGTGGGAGGGCTTCTAATGTCCTGGCCCCACTGGTGGACCTCCTGAGGGCACCTGGTCTTTTTGGCCACTGTGTGACACAGAGTGTTGGACTGGATGGGCCATTGGCCTGATCCAACTTTGGCTTCTCTTATGTTCTTATGTCTGGGGCAGTGATGCTCTGTATTCTTGGTGCTGGGGGGGTGACAGTGGGAGGGCTTCTAGTGTCCTGGCCCCACTGCTGGACCTCCTGATGGCACCTGGTATTTTTGGCCACTGTGTAACACAGAGTGTTGGACTGGATGGGCCATTGGCCTGATCTAACATTGGCTTCTGTTATGTTCTTACGTCTGGGGCAAGGGATGCTCTGCATTCTTGGTACTTGGGGGGGGGACAGTGGGAGGGCTTCTGGTGTCCTGGCCCCACTGGTATACCTCCTGATGGCCCCTGGTATTTCTGGCCACTGTGTGACACAGAGTGTTGGACTGGATGGGCCATTGGCCTGATCTAACATTGGCTTCTCTTATGTTCTTACGTCTGGGGCAAGGGATGCTCTGTATTCTTGGTGCTTGGGGGGGGTGACAGTTGGGAGGGCTTCTGGAGTTCTGGCCCCACTGCTGGACCTCCTGAGGGCACCTGGTATTTTTGGCCAATGTGTGACACAGAGTGTTGGCCTGGATGGGCCACTGGCCTGATCCAGCATTGGCTTCTCTTATGTTATGTTCTTATGCTGCCACCGAAGAGGCTAGGAATATGCATGGTTCTCTCTTCCCTTCTTTATGCTCGCAATGACCCTGTGAG